TTTAACATTGCTTGTATGCTTGTATGTTCGGCATGTGGTCAGAAGGACCAATATTTATCCAACACTGTTTGTATCGCTGGATGAAACGCGCATGAGCTTTGTACACCTCTAACGACGAAGAGTGTTATACCGAGGACGTGTCTGCTCTCAATACTCCGGAGACATTGTACGGCTGTCGATTGGGGTCATGAACATCGGAGCGCCAAGTGTTGAACGTTAGGGTCATGATGTAATGCCATGGTCACAGAAGCTGCGACTTCGACTCCGTCACTGCACTCGCCTTCGTCAGCCACCATCAATTTCCGTCTCACCATCCGGCCCCTCCGGCAGCGAATATTAACGTGCACACCTTGCGCGGCGACAGTGGACGTTACCAACGAGGAGTCGTCCACCTCGATCTCGAGCTTCCTCACGTCATGCATCCGAGGCACAAATACCCACTGTGCTCACCCTTGCAGATCTGTACAGCTCCTCTCGCCACAAATCTCGACTCCAAAAGGTCCCTTTACGTCGGCTTCCGTATTCGACATACGTGATGCAGATCCATCAGCCACTGAGCAGTTGCTGGTTCATGCTGGCTCTGGCGAGTTTTGCTGGTGAAGTTAATTGTCAGAGCCCAGATAGCAAAGATATGGTACTGATATCATACCTGCATTCTCATTGACGAGGGTTATGGTGCAGAACGCGGTACTCCTAGTGATGTGCGGGCCCGGCTTGGGCTTGTGGCGACGTCGAGCCGAGCCCTGAGCCCGAGCCCGAGCCCGAGCCCGAGCCCGGCTCAGCCACGTTCACGTGCGAGGAGTCCATGTGACCATGTTGTGGAGCGCGACGAGCTTCGTCTGGTAGATGAGCTTGTAGCCGAAGGTGAGCAGCAGGAAGAAGGGCTGGGGACGGGTTAAGGCGACGTGAGCACGCGCGGGCGGGCCGGGTAGGAAACGTAGAGAAGGGGGGAGGGGAGGCTTACGATGGGCACGCACGACGCGAGGAAGGGGCCGACGTGTCTGTGCACGCGCTTGCGCGCGATAACGAGTCGCGGTGGGCCTAGCGCCCGTTGTACGATCCCGTCTGAAACGCCGCTTCAGCACTCGAAACCGCACTCCTTCAGGTACTCCAGGCTGTCCTTCAACGTCTGAGTCGCCATCAAAGTCTGTCTACAGCCAGACTTTTGGAAACCCTGATGTGTGCGACATTTCCAGTCGCAACGGCCGCAAGTGTGATGAGACACGCCCCGCATCGCCAAGCTCTGTGCATCATGGTGCACCGCAGATTCATTGCCATGGCGCGCAGGTGCTTGCTGGACAGGCCTGCGATGTATATAAGCCTGCCCGACCGCCGTAGCCAAACCACACATTCCTCGCCTTCCTCGCCTCGACGACATCACAGCTCATTAGACCCCACGTTGCTCACACGGCCATGCACTTCATCATCTCATCCTTTGTGTTGGCCCTGGCTGCCACGACTGTTGTGTCGATGCCGTCCCCCGCGATCCACCCCGGATTCCAGGGACTCGCGAGCGGCCCGGTTCGTCGTGCTGGCGGGTCGCACATGTTGACCCGCCAGGCCGACAACAGCTCTCAACCCGCGTTCACTATAGACACGGCTGGCGCCTTCTTGAACACGACCGCAGTGAGTCTTCTCTTATGTCTCTGTGTGATGCATGCGCTGACAGGCTTTACTTCCGCATAGGGCGCAATCACAGGCGCCACCGGGTCACTCGTGATTCCGAGTATCAGCGTACCCCAGGGCGAGGACCCGAGTGTCAACTACACCGCAGCTGCTGAGGTCGGCGTTGATTGGCAATCCTGCACGACTGGCGGCATTTTGGGTGGTGTCCAGCTCGCCCTCAGCGGTGGCTCACAGAGCAATACTGGTCAGTCTGCGCTCTTTGCGCTCCTCCTCGCATGCTGACAAAACATCTGTATTCTCGCAGCCTTTATTCTTTCTTTCCCTGAAGGTATTGTCTTCATCGAGGACTTTAGCATTTCGACGGGCGACAACATCACGATAAGCGTCTCCGCGCAGAATGCGACGTCGGGCACGGTGGTCTTTATCAACCAGAGCACGAACCAGACCGTCTCCCTGCTCGCCACTTCCGGCACTCTGTGCATGCAAGAAGCAGACTGGTTCGTAGGGGACTTCGATGGGCCGGAGATTCCACTGCCCTTTGTCAACTTTGGTGCGCTCAACTTCACTGGCGCGTCTGCCGAGACCCCCACAGGTTCTCTCGACATCTCTGGCGCGTCGATTCTTGACATAGAGCAGAACGGCACTGTTCTTACTTCCGTCTTGGCTTCGCCCTCGACCGTCGATATCGCCTTCCTCTAATGCGGCACAAAGGATGTAAGGATGTAGGACCGATATTTATTTAATATTTAACATTGCTTGTATGCTTGTATGTTCGGCATGTGGTCAGAAGGACCAATATTTATCCAACACTGTTTGTATCGCTGGATGAAACGCGCATGAGCTCTGTACACCTCCAACGACGAAGCGTGTTATACCGAGGACGTGTCTGCTCTCAATACTCCAGAGACATTGTACAGCTGTCGATTGGGGTCATGAACATCGGAGCGCCAAGTGTTGAACGTTAGGGTCCCGATGTAATGTAATGCCATGGTCACAGAAGCTGCGACTTCGACTCCGTCACTGCACTCGCTTCGTCAGCACCATCACTTTCCA